AGAATATGTCTTGGTATGGGCCACATTGGATTCATCTTATTGAAATTCTCTGTGCTTCCTGGAGCTGGATATCTGTTTTCTACCCCAAATTAGAAAAGTTTTCGATCATTATTTCATCAAATATTCTTTCTGTCCCTTTCTCTCTCTTCTTCTGGAATCCCTACAATGCAAATGTTAGGATGTCTAATGTTATCCCAGAGATCTCTTACTCAATCCGCATTTAAAAACGTATTTTTTTTTTTCATTTTGCTATTGTGTTGGGTGATTTTGCTATTCTGTCTTTCAGGTCACTAATCTGTTCTTCTGTATTAGCTAATCCAGCGTCAATTCCTTTTAATACATTCTTCATTTCAGTTATTATATTCTTTATCACTGGTTTTAAAAATATATATTTTATTGATTTTTTTACAGAGAGGAAGGAAGAGGGATAGAGAATTAGAAACATTGATGAGAGAGAAACATTGATCAGCTGCCTCCTGCACACCCCCTACTGGAGATGTGCCCACAACCAAGGTACATGCCCTTGACTGGAATTGAACCTAGGACCTTTCAGTCCACAGGCCAATGCTCTATCTACTGAGCCAAACTTGTTAGGGCTATTACTGGATTTTTATTACATTTTCTATTTCTTTGTTGCAGAGCTCTCTGAATTCCTCTATTCTACTCTCAAGTTGTTAAGCATTTTTCATACTGTTTCCTTGAACTCTTCATTATGCAACTAGAGGCCCAGTGCATGAAAATTCATGTACTCAGGGGGTCCCTCAGCCTGGCCTTTGCCTTCTCGCAGTCTGGGAGCCCTCAGGGGATGTCCAACTGATGGCTTAGAGTGGGCCAAAGTTACAGCCTGGCCTCCCTCTGCAGGAGGCGACTGGCAGGCCAATCAGGGGATGGTGAGTGGCTGGCCCCATCCCCCCCATCACCCCTCTGCTGCTGCTGGTCCCTGCCACCCCCCCATCACTGTCCCCTCCCTCTGCCCACTAGAAAAAAGCAACTGTTTGACCCATATCAGTGATTATTTTCTAATTCCAATTGTACTAGATTCCATTCTGAGTTATTTACAAATGTCAAATGTGTTTTTATTGATAGAATTTTTTTAAATTCATTGAGCAAATGTTTAAGGAGAACACAGTACATGCCACACATTTTGGTGGGCAATGGGGATTTATACAGCAATACATAAAACAGACAAGCATTTGTTTTATTGGAGCTTACATTCTAATCCTATATAATAAAGAGCTAATATGCTAATTAGACCAAACAGCAGAACATCCCAAAGACCTTCCAAGCTAAGCTGGGGCTGCAAGGGCTGGCCAGGGCTGCGGGGGGCTGCAAGGGCCAGCCAGGCCTGTGAGGGGGTGTGAGGTTTGGCTGAGGCAGCTGGGGCTGTAAGGCCCAAGCCCTTGCAGAATTGCATGCATCGGGCCTCTAGTTTTATTATAATTTGTAGTACATGCATTATTTGACTATTGATTATATACTTCAAAATTCATTTAAATAATAATTGTGTTTTCTTGTGGATAATACTCTGCTTTTATAAATAGACTAGAAGCCCGTTGCACAAAGAGATTTGTGCAATAGGCCTTCCCTTCCCCTAGCTGCGGGCACCGGTTTTCCTCTGGCACCTGGGACCCAGGCCTTTGCTGCTCCAGCCGGAGCCTTCAGCCTTCGCTCCATGGCTTTGCACCTACATGTGCAAATTAACCACCATCTTTGTTGGGTTAATATGCATACTCTTCTGATTGGCTGGTGAGTGTAGCAGAGGGACGGTCAATTTACATGTTTGTCTATTATTAGGTAAGAAATTATTATGTTCAAACTCAAAGGACCGTATACATTTAGGTCAAACTCCAATAAATAAAAGTGAACTCTTCTTACTCCAGCCTGTGTGTGCACTTATAGTGAGCAGGAGTTCATCCATTTTCTAGGGTCTAACATTCCTTTCTGGGTTGACTCTCCTGCTAGATCATTCTTCTCTATGTTGAGTCAAAGTTTTCCTCTCAGTAACTTTGACCTGATTCTGTTTTCTAGAGAGATACACAAAAATAAATCAAATTCTCCTAAATAATAAGTCTTAATTATTTTGGCACCACCATCATGTTCTTCATTATTTAATTTTTTTAAACCCACTTCTTAAAAGACAAAAGTTAGTCATTAGACTTTTACATAAGTCCAATAATTATTTTTAATGGGTGAGGTTTAAAAAAGAAAAAAGAGAGAGAATAGCACTGTAGCACCATCTATGGTAACAAAATGTCACTGCAGCCTCCTCACAGGGTGTGAACACCCGAATGAATACACATTGCACACGTCCACCAGAATGACTAGTTTAAAGGCCACCAAAGTCACGTTGGTGAGAATGTGCTGTAATCAGAACTCCATATAATGCCCATGAGACTATAGGTAGTTTGCAATTTGTTTGAGAAACTGTTTGGAAGTATCTTCTAACATTGAACATTTTCTTACTCTATGACTCAGCTTTTATTTTCTAGTAAAAGCCTGAAGCAGACTATACATACCAAAAGATATATATATAATAATTTTTCACAGAGCACTGTAGTAATATACAAAACCAGAAATAATCTGAGTATCTACCAACAAAATAATGGATAAATAAATCATGATAGTGGTAATACAATAAATTAGTATACCATGATGATAGTGAAGCAATCATTAGTAGGAGCAAAAATATTCATGACTATCCTATATAATAAAAGCCAAATATGCTAAGTGTCTGGTCATCCAGTTGGCCATTCAACCAATCAAGGGGTAATATGCTAATGATATGCTAAGGCCGCTCAACCACTTGTTATGAGGTGCACTGACCACCAGGGGGCAGATGCTCCCACCAGTAGGTTAGCTTGCTGCTGGGGTCTGGCTGATTGGGACTGAGCTAGATGGGCCGGACACACCCTGGATCCCTCCCGCATTCCCTCCTGTGTCCCTCCCTGGCCCTGATCATGCACCAGTGGGGTCCTTTGGCCTTGCCTGGCCTGCGCCCTCTCGCAATCTGGGAGCCCTCAGGGGATGTCAGAGAGCCAGTTTCAGCTCAATCCCACAGGCCAGGCCGAGAGACTCCACTGGTGCATGAATTCATGTACCGGGCCTCCAGTCACTAATAAAAGTCTGAGCTAAAGATATCTGACACAAAGGAGTGCCATTCAATTTCTACTCTGTTCACAATCAGAGTAATCCGTAGTGTTGAAGATCAGGACAGTTTCACTTTGGGGGAAAAAAAGGAGGTAGTGATTTGGGTGTGGACACAGGGAATGCTGGTAATGTTCCTTTTTTCATTTTTTTTTTATTTTTTTTTTATATATATTTTATTGATTTTTTACAGAGAGGAAGGGAGAGGGATAGAGAGTTAGAAACATCGATGAGAGAGAAACATTGACCAGCTGCCTCCTGCACACCCCCTACTGGGGATGTGCCCGCAACCAAGGTACATGCCCTTGACCGGAATCGAACCTGGGACCTTTCAGTCCGCAGGCCGCAGGCCGACGCTCTATCCACTGAGCCAAACCGGTTTGGCCTTTTTTTAAATTTGGGTATGAGTATGTACACTTGGTGATAATTCATTGAATATAAATTATAATTGGTGGATTTTCTGTACATATGTTGTACTCAACTAAAAACTTTAAAAAAAAAAAAAAATACTCCCGGTGAGGTTGAAATGGCCCCGGTGAGGTCAAGACGGCCCCGGTGAGGCCGAAACGGCCCTGATGAGGTCGGGACGGCCCCGGTGAGGTCGGGACGGCCCCGGTGAGGTTGAAAAGGCCCTGGTGAGGTTGGGATGGCCCCAGTGAGGTTGAAACAGCCCTGGTGAGGTCAGGACAGCCCCGGTGATGTCGGAACAGCCCCGTTGAGGCCGTGATGGCCCCGGTGAGGTCAGGACGGCCCCAGTGAGGCTGGGACGGCCCTGGTGAGGTCGGGATGGCCCCGGTGAAGTTGGGACAGCCCTGGTGAAACCGAAACAGCCCCAGTGAGGTCAAGACAGCCCCGGTGAGGTTGAAACAGCCCCGGTGAGGCCAAGATGTCCCTGGTAAGGCCAGGACGGCCCCGGTGAGGTTTAAACAGCCCCGGCAAGGTCGAGATGGCCCCGATGAGGTCGGGACAGCCCCGGTGAGGTCAGGACGGCCCCGGTGAGGTCGGGACGGCCCTGGTGAGGACGAAACGGCCCTGGTGAGGACGAAACGGCCCTGGTGAGGACGAAACGGCCCCAATGAGGTTGGGACCGCTCCAGTGAGGTTGGGACGGCCCTGGTGAGGTTGAAACAGATAATGGGGACCAGTATAGACTGATTAACAGGGGTAGATGCAGAGGCAGAGCAGCATTGAACAGACTGTCAAACTACAGTGGAAAGCCTGGGGAGGGTTTGGGGGGGTGGGTTAAGAGATCAACCGAAGGACTTATATGCATGTATATAAGACTAACCAATGGACACAAGACACTAGGGGGTAGGGGAGGCCAGGGGAATGTCAAGGAGGAGTGGGAAAGGAGACATATGTAATACTCTTTGTAATACTTCAAGAAATAAAAATTATTTTTAAAAAATACTAATTAGAATATGTTTAAATTTTTAAAAGTATGTTGGAAGATTATTTAACTCTAAAATTATTATTTGGTAATAAATTCTTATAATTGTTGCTATTTTCATTTATTGAACAAATATATGTTATCTACTAGTTGCCAGATACACACCCTGGTTAAGCAGAAGCAAGGTCTCTGTAGAGATGTGGAACTAGAAAATAGAAAGTTGTGTCTTCTATAACAAAAAGAGAAGAGTCCAGTAGGGTTATATTTAATAAAAAATACAAAGTATCATTAATTGGAAAAATAATGGGCTAAAAAGGTAAAATTAAACAGTTTTAATAAAGTGTTATTACATTAGTTTCATGTAATTACAGTTGAGTAATCTACCAAAATAGGAGGACAGTACCTCTATAGAACTGACTTGAAAGAATAGTTAAAAATTATTTCTAATTAGCATAATGGCTATTAAAATATTTGTTTTAAGTTGCTGAAAATACATGTTTCCTTTTGAGTAAGAAGAGCACTTCCTGCTGACTCCCAACCATGTGCTCATGTGCCTACACACTATACAGCCATTCTTTGTTTACAGGTACAATTAACACCAACATATGGCAACTGACTTTTGTTAATGCTTAAAAAAAATATTTTCTGATTTCTATCAACCTCATTAACCCCATCCAAGAGATGTAACAAGTCACAATGCCCACGTGGGTTTACTGCTTCAACTACTGGTTATCAGTCCCATCTGCATACTTTTTGAAAAATATAGATTTATGGCTCATCCTCAATGATTCTGATTCACTGGGACTGCTTTCCACTTCAGTGGAAGACAAGTACCTACCATGTAAGTTAACACTAACTTAAACTTGTCAATTGTCAAGAATTCTAAATAATAGAAATTGGTAAGTTTATTACTATCTCCATTGCTAGTTTCTTTTTCTGAATAGTCTCTACTATTTCAGCAGATAGCAGGCACAAGTAAATATTTACTCAACATATTTAATTGAGTTGATTTTTAAGATCAATAGAAAACAAGTTTATTAAATTGAAAATAACACACCTATAAATATTACTTAAATTAAAATAATTTAAAGAGAAAATGGACTAAAAATAAATTTACACAATCTTTAAAAATTGTGGTAATACATACACATCTTTCACATACTCTCACCAAATAGAATATCCATTTCCTATTACATATGGAATTTGTATATTAAAGACTAAAACTTTAGAATAATAAATGACTGTATTCATATTTCACTGGTAACATTTTATTGAAACATAACAAGTTTCCAACATAAATAAATAGATTGGATTTATTTTGTATGAAAATTGTACTATTTAAAACTTCACAAACTAGAGACTCTTCATATTAAATGGTTAGGTCAAATTAATGTTATTGTTAAATCTTAATGCTGTTTTAGGGGTGAAACTCATTATCATTATGATGACAGTTGAATTGGTCATTAAGTAAATCCTATTTTAGAGCAGTTATTTGTAGTTATATGTTGGTGGTTGATGGCTATGGAATCTATAGTTACCAATAGTAGATATAGGTTCTGGTATGGAAGTAATGACAGTGGATGTTAAGATTTAATTTGCAAGCATCTTAACTACAGCTGCGATTAAAAGGCCATTATGAATTTGCCATTTCTGTCAAGTGGGAGTGATGATGTGATCTACTGTATTTACTATTAATAGAGGCAGTGTTTGGTTCAGATGAATAAGTAATGGATGGCTTTGAATAACATGTCAACAGAAGTTACAGTGCTTATAAATTCAGGTGAAGGGTTTAGTGATAGATATTGTAGTAGTAAGTACAGTAGAAATGATGGTGCATGGAAATGGTAGCATGACTGTGTGAACAATAAATGTGGTGGTACCTACTGTGAAATATGAAAAGTTACAGTACTAGCATATTTTGTTAATGTTGTCACACTATACACTCATTTGAAGGGGCAGTGAAATTGCTAATTGCACTGTAATAGGTTACTTAGAAGGTGATGATAATTTTCTATTAACAGGTAATATTGGTTATGGAGATTATAAATTCAGCTGAAGTCATGCTATTGTGTCTGTAAAGTCAGTGGGGTTAGCATCTGTGTTGATTTTATTCTTATTGAGGTGTGGCAGTGGAGGTAGGAAATGATGTTTTAGTTGAATCAGAAAGCAAACTAGATTCAGTCACTAATTGAGTCACTAGATTCATATACTTACTGTGGGCAACGTACATTCAGTTGAAGAACAAGTATTGGTGTCTGGAGATTCTGTTAAACTGATGCTAATTACACATTCATTTAAATGGAAATTTTTCAAATTTGAGTTGAATTTGTTGAATGGTTTATAGTTGTACCTTAAGCTGGAGTGACAGGGGTTGTCAGAATGGATAAGAAAAAGTTGAAATGGTACTATAAGCTATAACAGTAGATTCAGTAGAAGTTATTGTGATCACAGGCCCAGTAAATATGCAACTCATATCTATAGGTGCAATAGAAAATATAATTGTACTTGTAGTGCAATTTCGATGAAGGCACAATGCCTGCAGTTATGGCAGTAGGTTCAAATTAAAAGATGGCATTCATACTTGTGACAAGGTGGTGGCTGCACAGCGGTTGTAGATTAGATAGAAGTAGTAGTAACCATTGGGTCTGAGTAGTAGTGTGGGTAGCTGTTGTGGTAGGTGCCTGCTGTGGTGATTATAAGTTCAATAGAGGAGCTAGTGGTAATTGTGATTATGGCCACAGGGGTAGCGCTGGCAGCAGTTGTGGAAATCTGTTCTGTTGAAGTGGAGCTGCTGCTGTGGTGGTGGGTTTATTTGAAATGATATCAGTGACTGTGGTGAATATAGGTTTAGTAGAAGCAGTGGTGTTGTCCCACATGGTTGCTGTCTTACAGATAGCACTGGAAATTATTGTGGCAGTTGATTAACTTGAAATGGTGGTAGCAGGTTCAGTAGAAGACTGACTGGTGGCTGCTGTGTTTGTAGCCTCAATAGAAGTGCTGGCAGTAGGTGTGGTAGTTGGTTTACTTGAAGTGGTTTCTGCTGATAAAGTGGTTGTAGATGGAATGGAGGCAGTACCGGTAGCTGCTGTGGTTGTAGCCTCACTGGTTATAGGTTCAGTAGAAGCAATAGTGGTGTCAGAAATGGTTGTAGACTCAGTAGCAGTGCTGGCAGTGTTTGTGGTAGTTGGTTCACTTGCAGTGGTTTCTGTTGCCATCATGGTTGCAGATGTGGTAGAAGTGGTACTGGTGGACTGTGTGGTTGTAGCTGCAGGGGTACTGCCAACAGTAGTTGTGGTAGTCGTTTTAGTTGTAGTGGGGGCTGCAGTTGTGGTTGTAGGTCTAGATGAAGTATCAATTGTTGTGGTGGTCATAGGTTCTGCAGAAACAGTGGTATCTGATGTGGTTGTAGCCTCAGGGGTAGTGCTGGGCGCTGTGGTGGCAACTGGTGCACTTGATGAGGTGGCTGTTGTTGTGGTTGCAGGTTCAGTAGAAGTTGTAGTCGTGGCTGTTGTGGTTGTAGCCTCAGTGGTAGCACTGGCAGTACTGGTAGTTGGTCCTGTTGAAGTAGTGGCAGCTGTGCTGGTTGTAGCTTCAGTTGAAATGGTTTCTGCTGATGTGGCAGTTGTAGATTCAGTAGAAGCAGTAGAAATACTGGAGGTTGTAGCCTCAGTAGTGCTGGCAGTGGTTGAGATAGTTGGTTCAGTTGAAGTAGTAGCTGTAGTGGTGGCTGTTGTAGTGATAGCTGCAGTGGCACTGCTGACAGTTGTGGTAGGTGGTTCTATTGATGTGGTGGCAGATGTAGTGGTAGTAGGCTCAGCTGAAGTGGTGTCTGCTACTGTGGTGGTTGTAGATTCGGTAGAAATGGTGGTAGTGGCTATTGTGGTTGTAGCCTCAGTGATGGTGCTGGCAGTAGTTGTGGTGGTTGCTTCAGTTGTAGGTTCAGTTGAAGTGGTAGGTATTGAAGTGGTGGTTGTAGGTTCAGTAGAAACAGTAGTGGTGTAAGATATGGTTGTAGACTCAGTGGCAGTGCTGGCAGTGTTTGTGGTAGTTGGTTTATTTGAAGTGATTTCTGTTGCCATCGTAGTTGCAGATGTGGTAGAAGTGGTACTGGTGGCCTCTGTGGCTGTAGCCACAGGGGTACTGCTAGCAGTTGTTGTGGTAGTTGTTTCAGTTGTAGTAGGGGCTGCTGTTGTGGTTGTAGGTTCAGTTGAAGTAGTATCGGTTGCTGTGGTGGTCATAGGCTCTGCAGAAACAGTAGTGGTGTCTGACGTGGTTGTAGTCTCAGGGGTAGTTGTGGTGGCAGCTGGTGCACTTGACGAGGTAGCTGTTGTTGTGATTGCAGGTTCAGTAGAAGTTGTAGTGGTGGCTGTTGTGGTGGTAGACTCGGTGGTCGTACTGGCAGTAGTTGTGGTTGTTGCTTCAGTTGTAGGTTCAGTAGAAGCAGTAGTGGTGACATATGTGGTTGTAGCCTCAGTGGTAGCACTGGCAGTACTGGTAGTTGGTCCTATTGAGGTAGTGGCAGCTGTGCTGGTTGTAGCTTCAGCTGAAGTGGTTTCTGCTGATGTGGCAGTTGTAGATTCAGTAGAAGCAATAGAAGTACTGGTGGTTGTAGCCTCAGTAGTGCTGGCAGTGGTTGAGATAGTTGGTTCAGTTGAAGTGGTAGCTGTTGTGGTGGCTATTGTAGTGATAGCTGCAGTGGTACTGCTGACAGTTGTGGTAGGTGGTTCTATTGATGTGGTGGCAGATGTAGAGGTAGTAGGTTCAGCTGAAGTGGTATCTGTTGCTCTTGTGGTTGTAGGTTCAGTAGAAGCAGTAGTGGTGATAGATGTGGTTGTAGCCTCACTGGTAGTGCTGGCTGTAGTTGTGGTTGTTGCTTCTGTTGTAGGTTCGGTTGAAGTGGTAACTATTGCTGTGGTGGCTATAGGTTCAGTAGAAGCAGTAGTGGTGTCAGACATGGTTGTAGACTCAGTGGCAGTAGTGGCCGTGTTTGTGGTAGTTGGTTCACTTGCAGTGGTTTCTGTTGCCATCGTGGTTGCAGGTGTGGTAGAAGTGGTACTGGGGGTCTCTGTGGTTGTAGCCACAGAGGTACTGCTAGCAGTTGTTTTGGTAATCATTTCAGTTGTAGTGGGGGCTGCTGTTGTGGTTGTAAGTTCAGTTGAAGTAGTATCGGTTGCTGTGGTGGTCATAGGTTCTGCAGAAACAGTAGTGGTATCTGACGTGTTAGTAGCCTCAGGGGTAGTGGTAGAAGTTGTGGTGGCAGCTGGTGCACTTGACGAGGTGGCTGTTGTTGTGACAGCAGGTTCAGTAGAAGTTGTAGTGGTGGCTGTTGTGGTGGTAGACTCAGTGGTAGTGCTGGCTGTAGTTGTGGTTATTGCTTCAGTTGTAGGTTCAGTTGAAGAGGTATGTGTTGCTGTGGTGGTTATAGGTTCAGTGGAAGCAGAAGTGGTGTCAGATATGGTTGTCGCCTCAGTAGTGCTGGAAGTGTTTGAGGTAGTTGGTTCACTTGAAGTGGTTTCTCCTGCCATGGTGGTTGTAGATGTGGTGGAAGTGGTACTGGGGGTCTCTGTGGTTGTAGCCACAGAGGTACTGCTAGCAGTTGTTTTGGTAATCATTTCAGTTGTAGTGGGGGCTGCTGTTGTGGTTGTAAGTTCAGTTGAAGTAGTATCGGTTGCTGTGGTGGTCATAGGTTCTGCAGAAACAGTAGTGGTATCTGACGTGTTAGTAGCCTCAGAGGTAGTGGTAGAAGTTGTGGTGGCAGCTGGTGCACTTGACGAGGTGGCTGTTGTTGTGACAGCAGGTTCAGTAGAAGTTGTAGTGGTGGCTGTTGTGGTTGTAGCCTCAGTGGTAGTGCTGGCAGTAGTTGTGGTTGTTTCAGTTATAGGTTCAGTTGAAGTGGTATCTGTTGCTCTTGTGGTTGTAGGTTCAGTAGAAGCAGTAGTGGTGACAGATGTGGTTGTAGCCTCACTGGTAGTGCTGGCTGTAGTTGTGGTTATTGCTTCAGTTGTAGGTTCAGTTGAAGAGGTATGTGTTGCTGTGGTGGTTATAGGTTCAGTGGAAGCAGCAGTGGTGTCAGATATGGTTGTAGCCTCAGTAGTGCTGGAAGTGTTTGGGGTAGTTGGTTCACTTGAAGTGGTTTCTGCTGCCATGGTGGTTGTAGATGTGGTGGAAGTGGTACTGGTGGCCGGTGTGGTTGTAGCCTCAGTGGTAGTGCTGGCAGTAGTTGTGGTTGTTTCAGTTATAGGTTCAGTTGAAGTGGTATCTGTTGCTCTTGTGGTTGTAGTTCCAGTAGAAGCAGTAGTGGTGACAGATGTGGTTGTAGCCTCACTGGTAGTGCTGGCTGTAGTTGTGGTTGTTGCTTCAGTTGTAGGTTCAGTTGAAGAGGTATGTGTTGCTGTGGTGGTTATAGGTTCAGTGGAAGCAGCAGTGGTGTCAGATATGGTTGTAGCCTCAGCAGTGCTGGCAGTGGTTAGGGCAGTTGGTTCAGTTGAAGTGGTAATTGTTGTGGTAGCTGTTGGTCCAGTAGTACCCGTCATGGTGGCCATTGTAGTGATAGCCGCAGTGGTAGTGCTGCCAGTAGTTGTGGTTGTTGCTTCAGTTGTATGTTCACTTGAAGTGGTTTCTACTGATGTGGTGGCTGTAGATTCAGTAGAAGCAGTAGAGATAGTGGTTGTTGTAGCCTCAGTAGTACTGGCAGTGGTTGAGATAGTTGGTTCAGTTGAAGTGATAGCTGCTGTGGTGGCTGTTGGTCCAGTAGAAGCCATCGTGGTGGCTGTTATAGTGATAGCCACAGTGGTACTGCTGGCAGTTGTGGTAGGTAGTTCAGTTGATGTGGTGGCAGATGTAGTGGTAGTAGGCTCAGCTGAAGTAGTGTCTGCTACTGTGGTAGTTGTAGATTTGGTAGAAGCAGTGGTGGTGGCTATTGTGGTTGTAGCCTCAGTGGTAGTGCCGGCAGTAGTTGTGGTGGTTGCATCAATTGTAGGTTTGGTTGAAGTGGTAGCTATTGCTGTGATGGTTATAGGTTCAGTAGAAGCAATAGTGGTGTCAGAAATGGTTGTAGACTCAGTGGCAGTGCTGGCAGTGTTTGTGGTAATTGGTTCACTTGCAGTGATTTCTGTTGCCATCGTAGTTGCAGATGTGGTAGAAGTGGTACTGGTGGCCTGTGTGGTTGTAGTCACAGGGGTACTGCTAGCAGTTGTTGTGGTAGTCATTTCAGTTGTAGTGGGGGCTGCTGTTGTGGTTGTAGGTTCAGTTGAAGTAGTATCGGTTGTTGTGGTGGTCATAGGCTCTGCAGAAATAGTAGTGGTGTCTGACGTGGTTGTAGCCTCAGGGGTAGTGGTAGAAGTTGTGGTGGCAGCTGGTGCACTTGACGAGGTGGCTGTTGTTGTGATTGCAGGTTCAGTAGAAGTTGTAGTGGTGGCTGTTGTGGTGGTAGACTTGGTGGTTGTACTGTCAGTAGTTGCAGTTGTTGCTTCAGTTGTAGGTTCAGTTGAAGAGATATGTGTTGCTGTGGTGGTTATAGGTTCAGTGGAAGCAGCAGAGGTGTCAGATATGGTTGTATCCTCAGTAGTGCTGGAAGTGTTTGGGGTAGTTGGTTCACTTGAAGTGGTTTCTCCTGCCATGGTGGTTGTAGATGTGGTGGAAGTGGTACTGGTGGCCGGTGTGGTTGTAGCCTCAGTGGTAGTGCTGGCAGTAGTTGTGGTTGTTGTTTCAGTTGTAGGTTCAGTTGAAGTGGTATCTGTTGCTCTTGTGGTTGTAGTTCCAGTAGAAGCAGTAGTGGTGATAGATGTGGTTGTAGTCTCAGTGGTAGTGCTGGCTGTAGTTGTGGTTGTTGCTTCTGTTGTAGCTTCGGTTGAAGTAGTAACTATTGCTGTGGTGGCTATAGGTTCAGTAGAAGCAGTAGGGGTGTCAGAAATGGTTGTAGACTCAGTGGCAGTGCTGGCAGTGTTTGTGGTAGTTGGTTCACTTGCAGTGGTTTCTGTTGCCATTGTAGTTGCAGATGTGGTAGAAGTGGTATTGGTGACCTGTGTGGTTGTAGTCACAGGGGTACTGCTAGCAGTTGTTGTGGTAGTCATTTCAGTTGTAGTGGGGGCTGCTGTTGTGGTTGTAAGTTCAGTTGAAGTAGTATCGGTTGCTGTGGTGGTCATAGGATCTGCAGAAACACTAGTGGTGTCTGACGTGGTTGTAGCCTCAGGGGTAGTGGTAGAAGTTGTGGTGGCAGCTGGTGCACTTGACGAGGTGGCTGTTGTTATGACTGCAGGTTCAGTAGAAGTTGTAGTGGTGGCTGTCGTGGTGGTAGACTTGGTGGTCGTATTGTCAGTAGTTGTAGTTGTTGCTTCAGTTGTAGGTTCAGTTGAAGAGATATGTGTTGCTGTGGTGGTTATAGGTTCAGTGGAAGCAGCAGTGGTGTCAGATATGGTTGTAGCCTCAGTAGTGCTGGAAGTGTTTGGGGTAGTTGGTTCACTTGAAGTGGTTTCTGCTGCCATGGTGGTTGTAGATGTGGTGGAAGTGGTACTGGTGGCCGGTGTGGTTGTCGCCTTAGTGGTAGTGCTGGCAGTAGTTGTGGTTGTTGTTTCAGTTGTAGGTTCAGTTGAAGTGCTATCTGTTGCTCTTGTGGTTGTAGATTCAGTAGAAGCAGTAGTGGTGATAGATGTGGTTGTAGCCTCACTGGTAGTGCTGGCTGTAGTTGTGGTTGTTGCTTCTGTTGTAGCTTCGGTTGAAGTAGTAACTATTGCTGTGGTGGCTATAGGTTCAGTAGAAGCAGTAGTGGTGTCAGAAATGGTTGTAGACTCAGTGGCAGTGCTGGCAGTGTTTGTGGTAGTTGGTTCACTTGCAGTGGTTTCTGTTGCCATTGTAGTTGCAGATGTGGTAGAAGTGGTATTGGTGACCTGTGTGGTTGTAGTCACAGGGGTACTGCTAGCAGTTGTTGTGGTAGTCATTTCAGTTGTAGTGGGGGCTGCTGTTGTGGTTGTAAGTTCAGTTGAAGTAGTATCTTTTGCTGTGGTGGTCATAGGTTCTGCAGAAATAGTAGTGGTGTCTGACGTGGTTGTAGCCTCAGGGGTAGTGGTAGAAGTTGTGGTGGCAGCTGGTGCACTTGACGAGGTGGCTGTTGTTGTGATTGCAGGTTCAGTAGAAGTTGTAGTGGTGGCTGTTGTGGTGGTAGACTTGGTGGTTGTACTGGCAGTAGTTGCAGTTGTTGCCTCAGTTGTAGGTTCAGTTGAAGAGGTATGTGTTGCTGTGGTGGTTATAGGTTCAGTGGAAGCAGCAGTGGTGTCAGATATGGTTGTAGCCTCAGTGGTAGTGCTGGCAGTAGTTGTGGTTGTTGTTTCAGTTGTAGATTCAGTTGAAGTGGTATCTGTTGCTCTTGTGGTTGTAGGTTCAGTAGAAGCAGTAGTGGTGACAGATGTGGTTGTAGCCTCACTGGTAGTGCTGGCTGTAGTTGTGGTTGTTGCTTCTGTTGTAGGTTTGGTTGAAGTGGTAACTATTGCTGTGGTGGCTATAGGTTCAGTAGAAGCAATAGTGGTGTCAGGTATGGTTGTATCCTCAGTGGTAGTGCTGACAGTAGTTGTGGTTGCTGCTTTGGTTGTAGATTCAGTTGAAGTGGTAGCTATTGCTGTGGTGGTTGTAGGTTCAATAGAAGCAGTAGTGGTGTAAGATCTGGTTGTAGCCTCAGTCGTGCTAGCAGTGGTTGAGATAGTTGGTTCAGTTGAAATGGTAGCTGTTGTGGTGGCTGTTGGTACAGTAGAAGCTGTCGTGGTGGCTGTTGTAGTGATAGCCACAGTGGTGGTGCTGGCAGGTGTGGTAGGTGGTCCTGCTGCAGTGGTGGCTGCTGTGCTGGTTATAGCTTCAGTTGAAGTGCTTTCTGCTGCTGTGGCAGTTGTATAGTGAGCCGAAGCAGTACTGATAATAGTGGTTGTAGCTTCAGTAGCAGTGCTGGCAGTGGTTGCAGTAGTTGGCCCTGTAAACGTGGTGGTTACTGTGGTGGTGGTGGGTTCAGTTGAAGTGGTAGCTTCTGTGGTGGTTGAAGGTTCAGTAGAAGTTGTAGCAATGGCCATTGTGGTGGTAGCCTCAGAGGTAGTGCCAGAAGTTGTTTTGGCTGTTGGTTTGCCTGATGTGGTAGCTGCTGTGGTGGTTGAAGATTCAGTGGAAGTAGTACTGGTGGCTGTTGCGGTTGAAGCCTCTGTGGTAGTTCTGGCAGTTGTGGTAGGTAGCTCTGCTGAGGTGGTGGCTGCTGTGGTGACAGTAGGTTCAGCTGAAGTTTTGTCTGCTATTGTGGTAGTTCTAGATGCTATAGAAGCAGTAGTGATGGTTATGGTTGTAGCCTCAGTTGTAGTGCCTGAAGTCATTGTTGTAGTGGTTTCAGATAAAGTGTTGCCTTCTGCTGTTGTGGTTTCTGTTTGAGCACTGGTTGCTGCACTAGTAGATTCTGTTGAAGGGCGACCAGTGGTTGTAGTGATGGTAGTTGAAGTGGGTGGTGTGGTAGAATTTGTTATGGTAGTGGGAATTATAGGCTCAGAACTAGTTTCAGTTGCAGATGAGGTTGTCTCATGGTTTGAGGGAAAGTGGATAACAATGGAGGCATTATTGTTTTTCCCATTATACACCAAAGACACTATGAGTACTCCAATTGCTGTTGTTATCACACAGGCTAAGAGACAAACCAGGAAGATTTTCCACAGAGACCAGTCACTAAAGAAATTTCGTGTCACCTGGAAAGGATGTATACAAAATTACTGAAGATAAAACCAAATGTTTCAAAAATGTAATACCATTGAAAATCCTTTTTTATATATTACCTTACTGAAGATAGTATATACACAAAACACTATTAATAGCTTCTAATAATAAAAAATGACTCAAATTTAAGATTTCATTTAAGAAAGACTTGGTCCTTTTACTGTCTTTAATACAGGAACAAATAAGTTTCTACCAATTTCTCGTGTTTTCTTTTCATATATCTATATCTCAAACTTTAAAAAAAAAAAAGGTAATCAATGTCTTCTTTGAAACTTTATATTCCTGCCACTATCAAAAGTTTCTATACATGTGTGGTGACGGCTGTACACCGTGATTTTAGTGACCCAAAAGATCACCTGATTAAATCGCCTCCCCTTCTGGCTTGTCAGCTATCAGAAATTTAGCTACTACTTTGAAGCCTTCGATTTTAAGTGCATTGATTAATGGCTTGTCAAATTTCCTGGCTAATTTTTCAAACAGATTAGCATTTGGCAGGATGAAATTTAAAATCTGAAAACATTTGTTGAAATCCCACATCTGTTGCCACCAGTTATTTCCATTGGGTAAGGTACTTACCCCTTTGATGGAATCCTTTCATCCATAAAAATGGATGTGATAAGCTTAGAATAAGAACTAACGTCAGTAAAATTACTTTATAAATTTTAAAATACTATTTATATAACAAATTACAGTGGAACCTTGGTTCTTGAACTTAATTTGTTCCAGGAAACTGTCCGAGAAGCAATTTATTCGAAAACCAAACATTTTTTTGCATAAAAAAATCATGTAAATTGCATGAATTAGTTCCAGACCCCCCAAATGATTACTGGTTTTAACCTTTCTTATATACAGCACAAGTCTAATGTAATTTATAAACAAACACTTCTTTTCTTAAATTTATCAAACCCCCTACTAGCAGTAAACGAATCTCTTTCAGCACTAGTTCCAGGTGTGTCTTTTAGGAATCAGCTTGGGGCATTTTGCTTTTTCACATATCACCGCCTCCAAAATGCTGATACTGTCTCCTGCTAACTGCTTTTTCATTTATCCAAATCAACAACGGTTTTTCTACCTCTGTGATCATTGTTTCTTTTTTATACCCCATAGCAATATTAGCACTCTTGATGGCCTCTTTAAGGTTTATTAGTAAAGTTGTGCTAATCACCCATTTGTCAGCAACAAAAGTAAAAAGAAACCACAAAAATATTCACAGCATGATTTCCTGAGATGTTACCAAACCCTAAGTTTCTAGGTAAACTGACTGGGCTTCTCTCCTTTGTTTGTGGCAGTGAGGCACTTTTTGTCATGCTAAAGTACCAACGACATTTGTTTCCTGAACAACTTGGTGGAGAACCAAATTGTTTGAAATGGGAGACATTTGAGAATCGAGGTTTGACTGTATATGTAAATATATATGTAATTTAATATATATAATTTATAGATTTACATATATAATTTGTTATTGTAGAGGAAACACTGCATAGTGTAGAACATGTAAGTCTTCAGATCAGAAAGTCTTGAATTTAAGTCCCATACCATTAATATTCTAACCAAGTTTATTTACTTGTCTAATTCTCAGTTTGCCTTATATCAAAAGTGGGAATAATTATATCTATCTCAAAGTGTTACTGAGAAAATTAAAATCAGAAATACCCTCCTTACATTCTTGCAGAAGGCAGTCCATTGTAAAAATTAGGAGCACAGGCATGGAGTCTAACAGATTTAGGTTTAAATTTTAACTCCACCTTTCACTAGATGGATGATGCTATTTGGAAATTTGCATTATATTTCAAAGCCACAATTCCCTCATGGGGATCCTATCACCTATTGCACAGGATTACTGTAAAGAGTAAACAAGAAAACAATATGGGTAATGTTTCCCTGCACTTACTAAGTATTCAAAAAAATACTTGCATTCACTAATTACTTCATTATTATCCCTTTTCCTATAACTGAAAGCAGATCACTAAAGGAAACAAGCACAGAGCAAATGTCTTTGGAGCTTGTAGAGTAGCTCTTAAAAGTCACAAAATATGGAACACTGTCTCAGATAGTAAACCTCAGGTTGGGTGCTGAGACGAGGTCCCAGTAGGAAATTAGAAGTAGTGCAAGGGCACGGGCCACTAAGGCCAAGGATTAGGGCACCAACTGAGAAAGCCCAAAGACAAATGGTCCCAGGGCATCCAGGTCTTAGAAAGGCAGTCAGAGTGGTAGGAGAGGAAGGACCATACTCACATCTCATGTAAGGGAGATAATTACCTCATTTTTTGTTTGAATCTTTAAGAAGAGGAGCAAGATTAATAGAAACTCGCATTAACCTGACCTGAGACCTGTGTGTCCATGCTATTACCGCCACTAGCTAGCTGTGTGAATTCTTAAAACATTCTAAACTTCCCAGACCACATTTTTTCCCCTGTCACTAAGTAAATGCATCTAAAATAACTTCCAGCTCTCTGATTGGTCTGGTTTGTTTGAGGTCATCAGAGACATGTTCTCTAAATAATTCTTATCTATCAAAAGCATTCTTCCACAATGTCTCCTGAAGAGAGTGTATCCTCTTTTGTTTTGTCAGAGTCTCTCCAAATTGTCTCTATAGTAAGATTAGCTGGAGGAGGAGTGTGGTCCAGAGCTGGAAGCACTGAACCAACTGGCAAGCGTCAGCATCAATCAATCAAACTCAAGTTTTCCTCTTGGTGTGGAAGCAGAGGGGACTCAGAGATCAGACCTTAAGGTGAAGAAAATAAAATAACAAGAAAAAGGGTCATGAATATGGGAAATCTGCTTCTGGGTATCAGAAGTGCTAAATAGTTTCTAAGTCAAGGTTGAAAACACATGAAATCAGAACCAGGAGGCTAACAGAAGGCCCACAGTTGGCTAGGAGGCAGGAAGGGAAAGAGAGTGAGACAGATCACCTACAGACTAGGGCCCCAGAGCCTTAACACATGGCTTCATCTCCACTTGAGCAAGGGGTACAATGTCATTTACTGCCAATGCATCACCTACTCAGTCCTCAAAATAAAAGAGACCCCAAAACTTTATTTTCTTTGACCCTTAGATATTTTCTCCAAATTGTGTGTGTTTTTATCTTTTCATCATATCATTAACTCCTTAAATGAAAAGCCCCCAAAAACTATGTCTCTTGCATTCCCTCTCAGTGACATGTTTAAAGGATGCTGTAGATTTTCAAACGTTATCATGAATTGATTAAATGGTTTTCCTCCAAAATATTAGATCAAGAGTATTTCCATGAGAATTATAGCATAACCCAGAGAAAGAATGTTGTCCCTAATATTACCTGACAATGTTGTAATTCTCTGTTTGGAAATTCCGGGTCTCCAAGGGTCCCTGTATTGGTGCAGACATTAGTTAAATTGGTACCAATATCACTAGCTACATTAGTTGATGCTGGAAACCGACATGCTGAACTGTGAGCTTCATGGTTTTTTGTGCTCAGAAATGGCTGTGTAAAGAAAGAATGGGGAAAAATAAGAACTATTATATTTGATGGCTAAAGTAATATAATTCTGACAAATATAAATTAGATTGTAGCATGACCTATTTGATCAAATAAATTCATGTGAAACCTGCCTGAAAGAGCAAATGAACACATTCATTATATTTCTTCTCAAAACAAGGAAATCTAGATAGTTGTCGCAAGTTACAGTTAATTATTTTATATAATTACTGATGTCAAAATCCAGGAATAAGCATTATCTTTTATCCTCATCATATTTAATGCGTTTGTTAACTATCATTATGTGGCAAGCAGGTATAAATCGGTTATATAAGAAAAAAAGTCTCACAGTGAAAATTCTAAGACCTTAAGGGCTATCAAGAACAATTTTTAGGCCCTGGCCAGGTGGTTAGGTTGGTTGGAGCATTAACCATTACACCAAAAGGTTGTGGGTTCAGTTCCTGACCAGGGCACATACAAGAAGCAACCAATGAATGCATGGATAATTGGAACAACAAAATCTCTCTCTCTCTCTCTCTCTCTCTCTCTCTCTCTCTCTCTCTCTCTCTCTCTCTCTCCCCCTTCTCTCTCTCTCTCTCTCAAATCAATAAATAAACATTTAAAAAAGAACAATGTTTTTGGGTCATATTGAAAATGAGAAAACCAAGATTTAAAGAATTGAAGTGAGATTCTGGATAGAGTAAGTTGCAACAGGCCCACTGCAATCAACCAATCAATAATAATAACTGAAGAGCTTGACAAAAATTAAAATTAGATTATGTAAAATCTAAAAGAGTTTGGAAGAGCTTTACAGAAGTGACCTAACAATCATAGGCCATTTTCTCTTCTGGGTGCACCGGTTGATTCTGAGTATGAGCTGAGGTTCTGACTACCAAAAGAAGCGAGCAAAACTTTTGGTGTTCATGTGTGGCTGGCATGACAGATTGGAAAACAGTGGAGCTCCAACCCCAAGGCCTTAGCTACATTCTGGACTAGCCTAGGAGGCTGGGGGCCTGGAATGGAAAGTCTGAGTGAAGTCTCCAGCGGAATTCTAATAGTTAGGGTATAAAATCATGCTAGAACAAGGGTGGTCTGGGAAGTTTAGAATGTTTTAAGAATTCACACTGTTAGTGTCAGTTGGTTCTGCACTAAGGACATTTATCAGATTTTGAAGCTGCCTGGCATAGGAAGCTAAACAGTTCATTTTGAAACCTCCAAAGGTCAATCTCAAGAATATAGGCGCAAATATTATAAACAAAAGAATAGTAAATTAACCCACCCCCCCCACACACACACACTATATATATATATATATTTTAATATATATATATTAAAAATCATGACCAGTGAGATCTAGGTCTTTTTTTAAGTGAGGTTAATAGAAAAATAACCCAGATGCAGTTTTAAGAAAAAGGAGAATAGTGTGTGTTACATACTCATGAGAGTGTCAATTGTTACATGTAAATCTTTTATAGCTAAAAAAAAAAAATTATAGAATTATCTAGATTATTTTTCCTCATAGGACAACAGAGTTTTATTTAAATGTAACCTCTCTTGATTATATTGACTACACACCTAATTCTAAATGGTTATTGAAAAGGCTGTTGACATTGCTAGCCCAGTCTCTAAATTCTATTAGAATAAGGAAACTAAATATGTGTATAGACACCGTCCATAGAACAACTATAACTAAGAATGAAAAGGAGTATAATTGTAATTAAATATAGTCAAGAAGAAATACACTTGGGCATAAAGAATTAGTCAATATTTATTTTTCTAAAAGTACAATGCCATGCCAAAAAAATAAAGAAAACAGAATAACTATGCAATGAATAAGAGAAGATATGATACACACAGGCACTTTAATGAATTTTCTGTTTTCATTCACATTTGTTAAAACTTTATTTTTTCATAAGAGTTTTAGGTTTAGAACAAAATTAATAAGGAGATACAGAGATTTCCCAAATACTCTCTAGAGCTCACACATGTACTCCCCTTTATAAGCATCACTCATTAAAGTGATACTTTTTTTTTTCCAATGGATGAACTTACATTGACACATCATAATCACCCAAGGTTCACACTTTACCTGAGGGTTTACTCTTTTTTTAAACTTTTTGTTGTTGTTGTTGTTGATACCATTAACAGATGTCCTCATTTTCCTCCCCTTTGCCCACCTCCACCCAGCCCCATCCCCTTCTCTCTGTTTTTAAATAGATAACTTTGAATAAATCACAAAGATTTATATTTCATAAAAGTGTTGTATTTCTATGTAGTATTAGTATTATAGCTGTTATTCAGCTATTCAGTTTTCTTGTGGCTGATAAACTTGAACATTTTTTGAACTTTTGTAATTAAATAAAAAATGCTGGCCATACCAACTTGACAGAATGGAATGAAGAAAGATGATGGATATCTATACTGAGAGTGGAGAACCCATGATACTGAAGCTTTGGGGGTAATGTAATCCTCACTGTCCTAGTTTCCTCTCTAGTTTAATAAAAGTGGAATCTCTCAAAGTTAAAATTTTGAGCAGTTGGAGATCTAAGAATTATAGTTAATTAGCTCTTGGTAGAAGCCAATAATCTCTGTTGTATATATCTAATATGCATCAACTATATTCATGGAATATAATTTTAAATTCTCTGCTCATCCCTGAAAAGAGATTAATTTACCATTTCGTGTTTCCTGAGAGGGAAAAGCAAACTCCTAAATTATCCCTTTTCATGTGGCCTTCAAATGCTACTTTAATCTATTAGTGAAAATGGTCCACAATGTATGCCCAAATATCCAGACATAAAGTGAAATATTCAGTCAGTGATCAAGATCTGTTCCCTCTTTGAAAACTCTGCATGTCTAGGAAAATCTTCAGGACGACTAATTTCTTACTGAAGAGAAATCTTCAACTGAGCACCTTGACACTGTGAAGACAGTGAAAGAGATGCAAGGCCAGAGGGACCGTGAAGAAATCTTCAGGGGAAGAGGATGCTGATCTAGAATCAAGAGAACAATTTCTCTGCCCTGTAATCCCTTGTCAGTGCACGGGGACAAAAATACTTTTCATCTCAAAATCTAACTGTCCGTTCAAACTTACACTGTTTTCATTCAACACAACTCCTTTTCTATTTCTAATGATCGAGGCTCTAGTCCAGTGATGGCGAACCTATGACACGCGTGTCAGAGGTGACACGCCAACTCATTTTTTTGGTGATTTTTCTTTGTTAAATGGCATTTAAATATATAAAATAAATATCAAAAATATAAGTCTTTGTTTTACTATGGTTGCAAATATCAAAAATTTCTATATGTGACAGGGCACCAGAGTTAAGTTAGGGTTTTTCAAAATGCTGACACGCTGAGCTCAAAAGGTTCGCCATCACTGCCCTAGTCAAACATGCACAGTTACATAAAAGGCAATCCCAACATACACAGTACTAATTTTTTTCTTTTAAAAACATAAGCAATAGTCAAATAATATTGTATATAACTGAACTCTAAAAGTTAACCTTAATACAATGTTTTACTAAGAAAAGAAATTCATAAGTAGTTAAGTAGAGACCGGTCTAAAGGAATTGCTAGATAATTTGATTCCTAGACCCAACTTTCATTTATAAGATTATCTTATGACTTTGAAAGATATACAGTAATCTTTGTGTTCTAACAGATCTACACATTACACTAAAAAACTAAGTGGTTAACATAAAAATCTATATATCACATTTTAAAAACACAATTTGTTAATGCAATCAAGTATAGAGTGTTGGCTTATGTTTGAATTATGATAGCTGCAGAGAATTATTTGAACAGATTATGAAATTGTTACCCAAGATTACTAATATCTTATATTAGTGAGTGTTAAAATAAATGCCTCAATTATGCATGCATTGCTATGCAGAAAAATATTAAAAATTTCTAATTAATAAGTAGTAAGTAATAGCTAAAAATTGGCTTCCATATGAAACCTTTATTAAGAATTCCTTTCGAAGAAGAACCATGTCATAACAAAAATATATATATTAAAGTTCTGTAAACACTGAACACAAGACTCTGAGCTATCAGAACATACCCGAGTGGTGCCACCAATACTCTCCGGCTGGTTTCCAGAGTGTTCAATATTCACTATGTATTTCCCATGTTTTCTGTCCATTTTTCAGCGGCCGATATCACAAGCTCAACTCCAGAAACATTTTTCAGCCTATTCATTGCCCTTTATAGCTGAAACCTTGAGAAATAATTGTGTTGATTAATATTAAATCTACTATGAGACATCAATGTGTGGATTAGACAAAATAATTAATAAGTATTCTTTATATGGGATCCACCTTAAGGAAGAAGTGGGGTGTAAAGCAGTTACATAAGAAAACAAGCACATCGATCCCACCTCTGTGAATATACTCTAAGGACCACTCCACGAGGCAGCCCGCCTAGGGGAGAAACTGCAAGCATCCAATTCTTCCCTCTCCCTCCTATCACATCATCTCACAGAACCCTTCCTTCCAACTCCAGCAATCGCCCAAGGCAGAACTCTGAAATAAGTGAATGTTGCTATTGCTTCTTTACTAACCAGACATGAACATCTTTCCCCTCTTATTGGCAGTGACTTTAAGACACTCATGACTCACTCAGTCGTGACTTCTCAGGTTCCTCCCCAGCTCTAGAACTTGTTCAATTTATTCTCTCTCTCTCTGCTTCTGGAAAAAATTAATCTAACCTGGCTTATACTTCCTCAAGCCCCAAAATACAGATAGTTAATCTGGTGAACAAATCTCTGTGAATGCATTCACTGGGGTCCATTTCTGTTCTCTTCTTGTGGGATCTATTTGGCATGGTTCCCCAGAAGATTACTTAAGATCCTGCTTACAATTTAGTAACAGAACACGTGGGTAGATAAAGCTCTTTTAACTTCTGTGAATTTTACTCAAAAGCAAATTACTTTTTTTTTTTGTAGAAATAGCTTTAGCATGATCTAAAAGACAATTGGCAAGATTTAAGAAAAGACTTTTATCTCAAATGAAAAGTTATCAATCAACTCCCAGCATATATATCCAGGGAATCGCAAAGAAAACTGGTGCAGAAAGTTTTTGATGAAAAATGGTGCTTACATAACCTCAAAGTCCAACATGATCTTTTCAGTAATAATTACCATATAGATAATTATTGGCAAATGAAGCAACAAAGACAAGGTACTTACGCTTTTTTGTTGAAAATGTCTCAGGTAGCACTTTTTATCTACCCAGATAACTATCAGGTTTCAATGATAAGAATTAGCTGATAACAGAGTTGCAAGAAGTCTGAGAGATCTTGTAGTTCAGCCTTGTTGATTTCAAGTTGAGGAAATCTGTGTCCAGAGAGGGGAAGTCGTCAAATCACTTGTATAGTGGAATCCGGTTTCCTTTTCAGCCTAATATTCTCTCCATAACTAGTGACTCTGTAGAAAGATGGACAGCCTAGTAGGAAGTCAAACAAATGTCCTTTTGAAAACAAAGTGAAACAAAAATTCCAGACGTGAGTTGGAAAGGATCTGACATGGGCGCCCATTCTACCCTGGAGCTTTCTGAGGCTTACTGAACCAGACTTTCAGGGGCAGGATCTGAGAGTCGGACCTTTTGGCCAAATGTCAAGTAATCCTTATTCAAACAAAGTTCGAGAAATATGTTAATAAACAATGATTCCAACAATGGACATGGAGTATCTTCTTATTTTTAGGAAGAAAATAGGGTGTGTGAAGGAACCTCAATTTTCTTAATTATTTTTAAAGAGATAAGTTTTTAAATTGCTTATTTGTTCAACCAGCACTATTGAATCTCTACTATACTCAGGCACTGTGCAAGGTGCTAAGTATTTAATGGTGAATAATTATTCAATGGTGAATAAGAGTCAAGATTCCTGCCCTCCTGTGATTATGTATTAAATATTTTTATCACTTCTGAAGTTCTTTTATAAATTCATTCTTTAGCTAGAGGTTTCATTGGCATCCCATTACTAACCAGAAGCAACGTAAAATGGCCCTAAGGTCTACAGAACATAAAAGGCTCGAAAAATCTGGAGAAGGAATTTCTTCTAAGGAGTAAGAGACAGTGCTGTACCCTCTCCATGCTGAAACTAAGCCAATGAAACTGTGGCTTCTGGGGCTGTGTAAGTAGAGTGATCAGGTAATTTGTCACTCCAAACCAAAATGCTTTTGTGAGCAAAAAAAAAAAAAGCAGTATTAATAATTTAATTTCATAGAGACAACACTACCCCATGCAAACAAGGACATGTGGTCACATAGCTATAAGGAACTCATGTGAGTTAGAAGATTCACTAGTACTAACCATGACCCATCTGGATAAGCCAATGAATTTAAAAATCAATTTAATATCCACAGTGAGCACATATTTCAACTGAACAGAATACATTTTTTACTTGAGATTTTTTTAAAATCAATTATGACATTGTGGTACTAAGACATTTAAATTTTGCACTGGAGTTTCATAACCATTGAGCAGGTGAAAAATGCATATCATTAAGTCACTGACAAACTAAAATCCCATCCTCACTATCATTAGGTTGATTAACTATTGCAAGAATCAAAGTAAGAATGAACAAGTATGTTACTATGCACTTAAATTTTTAGTATAAAATTCAAACTTTCTCTGTTTTTCAAAAAAACGCTGTTTGTGCCTTTACTCTATCACAAACCAACAGCTAGAGTAGGCCGCACCTGAATAATTACAATGTGCCAAGGAATACAGGTAACTCTCATTGCTGTGCTGAATACCTCCTAGAAAAGCGCTTTGCTATCTGCAGAATTTTAAGCCAAAAGAATTTGGAACTCTACTAATTGAGAGTGGTTGACAATCTTTTAACAGCTGGTAATTTTTTTTTTTTTTTAGACAAAAGAATGCAAAACCTGTTAACATGTCACCTGTTATAAAATGAACCACACTGTAGTCTAAAGATTACAACAAAACCACTTTATTGATCAAGTTACCCACTTCAAATACTTCAGTGACTGAAATTTCACCAAGATCCGATACTCATCAAAATATCATATTTTTGCTTTGGTCTTTCAGTGTGATGACAACCAATATGACAAGTCCAGCTCTCTCATCTTTAAAATTAATTTAGGCCAGAACATTATTTTGGTTCATCATGTTGTGTTGAGTGATTAAAATGATAACCAAGCATATATCAGATTTCAAAGCCTTCAGGGCAGTATTTAGATTTGTATTTCCAAGTAGTTAAACCTGATAAGATAATCTTTTGTAATGCAATGAGGTTGTAAAAGAAGTTTTGAAGTTGTCAAGTCAAACCAATGCAAAGTTGTGCAAAAAAAAAAAAAAAATGATCATAGGGAGAAACTGAAAAATCTATCTGTATATTTGTTCAAGAATCTACCTCTCTTGCCCTTCCCAACAAAAAACCAACTTAACTAAATTAAGGGGTCATTTTCCCTTCACACAGGAGAAGGCTGCAGGAGGGCAGTCAGAGTTAGGTGAGAGGTAAGAAAACAAAAGTTTCATCCCTCACTGAAGAATGTCACTGGGGCACACTAATGGGTGCTACTCTGCATCTGGGTGGCTTCTAACTCAGCCACATCTTGTCATTAATATTATTGACATTTCTTGTGAAGGGCTGCCAATTCCAGTACATACCACATTGATCATATCTAATCCTCCTAATATCTTCCTGAATTAACTATTATTAGCCTATTTTCCTGATGAAATACCAAGGCATTTAGTGGCACTTTATAAGTCCCAAGATAAGTTTGTGTCTCCCCATTCATTCACCCAAGAAGTGGTTATTAAATACTTACTATATTCACTATGTCACATTAGATGCTGAGGAAAATATGGAGAATGGACTAAGGAAAAGGTATTTAGAAATTTAACCTTTTATGGATGGAACAAAATCAAAAACCACCCAGCAACTGGTGACATTCCTCAGGATACATCAAGGCAGCATGATTGTTTGCAGACATTACTAAGGAGAGAGATGCTGGAATTCAGACCCAAATTACATCACAGGCTTAGAAAATCCCTGGGCAGAAGTCAAGACCTACTAGTTTGCAGACTGAATCTCTATCTGGAGTTCAGACAAATGATCTATATAAGGCTTCCCAACAGGTGCAATTCAATTTGTGAGGCCTGTTTTAACCCATCTTTGGCAGGCAAAATGGTGACTTACCGAAGATATCCACATTCCCATAAGGGGAATTAAGGTCCCAGATGAAACTGAGATGGCTAATCAGCTGAACTTAAAATAGATTATCCAAGTGGACCCAATGTAATCACAGGGTCCTTTAATAGTGGAAGATGGAGACAGAAGTCAGTCAGAGAAAGAGTTGTAACTATGGGGAAAAAATGGTTATAGAGAGGCAATTTTACTGGCTTTGTAGAAGGAAGAGGACCCCAAGCCAAGACATGTGGAAATACTCTACTAGAAGATGGATAAAGGGAGGTCGGGGGGAGGGTTCCCCAGAAGGTATATAGCCTGCCAATATCTGGATTTTATCCCAGGCTGCAGTTCTGACTTAAGAACTGTAAGATAATTTAGGGTGTTTAAGCCATGAAGTCTTTGGTATTTCTTATAGCCGACATAGAAATACACCATCCGTCAGGTCTCCCTTTAAATCAGTGGTTCTCAATCCTAATGCCAGACCCTTTAATACAGTTCCTCATGTTGTGGTGACCCCCAACCATAAAATTATTTTTGTTGCTACTTCATAACTGTAATTTTGCTACTGTTATGAATCATAATGTAAATATCTGATATGCAGGACGTATTTTCATTGTTACAAATTGAACATAATTAAAGCATAGTGATTAATCACAAAAACAATATGTAAATATATATGTGTTTTCCGATGGTCTTAGGCGACGCCTGTGAAAGGGTCGTTTGACCCCCAAAGGGTTCGCGACCACAGGTTGAGAACCGCTGCTTTAACTCTCACTCTCTGATTGGAATTGGTTCTTCTACTTTTATAATCTTCCTAGCATTGTGTTCTTTCTTGGTGCTCATCATAGTTGGCAATTATATATTCATTTTTGTGATTATTTAATATATATTATCCCTTTGGGACTCAAATTTCCACAAGGATGTAGACTGTGCAGTTTTTATCATCAATGCATCCCCAGCAACTGGCACAGTCCTTTGCACATGGTG